GTGAAAATATCAAATAAAACCCAGCAGTGGAACAGCGAGGATTTAAAGCAAGAACTTAGGCATCCACTTGATGATACCCAGAGGTAAGCTACCACTGTAACCTTGTTGGATTGCTCTCTAGAGAGGGACCTTCATCTGGCAAGTCATCTGTAATGCTGAGTAGATTTCACTGTCTAAATGTAAGTACTGATACCAGGCTTTAGATGACAGTTCATCTGAAAAGGAGGGAGCCACCCACTGCCTGAGGAGAAAAGGTGAAAAGCTGTGTTAGCCCTCTTCATGGAAAGACATTACTGAATATTTTTGTTTCTAAGTTACTTCAGGTAGATCTACACAAAAGTAGATTTGGGGGAAAGGAAGAAGACTGAAAAGGTGTGTAGAGTCAAATATGATTAGGATGGCAGGAGCCCAACAACTTTTGCTCAGAAAGGGAAGCTCAGGAAGATGACTTTGAGCAAATATTGGGGTCTTCACATAAATGCTTCCAAGACCCCACTATAGCAATGCAGTTTAGCCTCCATACATCTGAGTTATTATTTAGTAGAGTTAAATTGGTAGCAATTAGGCAGTAAAGAGGAGAACCTCACTGCTAAGCTGTGCTTCAACCTGTCTCTCAAAGTCACTTGCTGGATGATTTTAGTAGTATGGCTGGTGCTGCAAAACCCACTGCTGGTGAAAGGGACTACTGTGGTCACTCAGCTTTACTCCTCTCCAAATTACCAAATGCGAAGTTACACAGAGCAAATTTGCCTTGACGAAAACATGCTGCTCTGCTCTTATTTAACTTCACACTAAAACTGCTGGACTTCTGCTTGACTATGAGTTTCCAGCAGCTAATTCAACTAAGGAGGAATGATGTTTCTGGCATCTACCTGTTTGCTGCACCCTGCCTCTGTGTGGTTTTGCATGCCCCCATAGCTGGCCCCTCTCCACTGGAGATGGGGAGCCCAAGAGCAGGTAAGCGGCAATTACAGACAGGCGAGGAGGGGGTGTGTGGGGGACCTCAGCTGGACTGAGGCCCTTGGACAGAGTGACTTTGACCTTAAGAAGATTCCAGTCTACCCCTGAGAGAATAAACAGGAACAAGAAGAGCCACAAGGTATACAAGTTTGTTGAAAGTGCTGACAGCAGACTGAGGTGTATGTGTTCCTTTGGCGGAAGTGCTGAGTTGTGATGAACTGTAAACATAGTAACTTTGAACCAATGAGAAGAAGACACATCTGGGGAGAGAGTATAAATAGATGAGGAAGAAAAAATTTAAAAAAAAGCTTTTTGTGCTACGTCAACACTTGTTTTGTCGCTTTGTCTGTCCTGACCACGACAGGGGTGGGATTTCAACCACTGCTGAAATGGGGTAAAACACGATGGCATGGAAGGGGATTAGAGAGTGATGAAGGCAAAGACAGTAAACAAAAAGGGGAGGGAGCTGAACTGGGGCTCATCTTGTGGACACATAGCAGGAGGTTGGGGTCCCTCTGGGGAAAGAGGGTGCCATAAACATCTGTATGTCATACCCGGGAAACAAGGCAGGCAGCAGAGGAGGTGAGAGAACTGGAGACGAGTGCTGAGCTGGGCACCAGCAGCAGTGTGGTAGAAAGCAGGGACAATAATAAGGACAGTGAAGTGGCAGGTGGCTGCTACTTCCCTTTGAGGCTTTCTATCCACATAAGGCATATGTGTCAGAGTGAGTATTCAGGAGAGGGAAGGCTTATTTCATCTTTAATTAGGCTTACTCATAGTACACAAGTCTCTGGGTTATCAAGGAACTGAGATATACAGTACTATTCAGTGTATTCAATCCATCAGGACTGCCATTTTTATACAGCAGTTTGTACAGGTCAGAGCCCTTCTTATGCCACTCAATGTCCTGAAAATTTGTCATTAAATTGAATTAAGGGACAACTCTTTCTGTGGTTCCTCTGATAAAGTGGTTTACGTCAGGTTAAAAGGAGAGTCCCTTGAAGAAACAGGAGTCACACATGATAAATGAAAGAGGAACAAATCACAGGTCCCAGTGTTATCTGTCTCAGAACTCCAACAGAAATGATGGAGCTTACAACAAAATCACACTGTTAATACAATTGGTTATGAGACTAGAGTGCCACATATCATGAGCCAACAGCTGAAAACAAAGGAAGCATGCTAGAGAATATCTTTAAAATTAAATTACAGTTCTGCCTGTGTCAAGGCATCTTCATGAGGACTGCCCGGATTCTGCAACTGGTTCCTCCTGAGAATGATTACTTTTACTTGGAAAGAAGGGGAAGATGGTATATGTAAAATATGCCTTGAGAAAGCATTCTGCAGTCGTGCAGTTGAGTA